TTCAGAAGCAGGCAGCAAACTACTGTACTTACAAATACTTACTTACTTACTTACTGCTACTTATTTACCAATGCTATAAATATGTGACTTTTTATAAATAAAATTTTATTATATACGACATAGTAGTGAGGTTAGAAATACTCTGACTACAAATTTTGAAATGTTGCCCTTTAATCTTTTTTATAATTTTTAGGTAGGTTTTGTGGAACAACCCTTCCTCAAAAGCTGATTTCTCGAAGCCCACGCATGATGATAGAATACAAAAGGTCGGCAGGCAAATCGGGTAGCGGATTTAGCGCCAGTTATCGCGGTGAGTACATATATGGGGGGTACCATGTATAAAAATATACGACGTCGATGTCTCTTCACGGCACCAAGTATTCGAAGCATGCGGAATTTATCTAGTGGGAAATAAATCCTTCTGCCAAATAATAGCACATTGTGTGCTCAACCAAAGTGATAGCTTTTGGTTTTTTTCATCTAACAGCATTTTTGGAGCCAAGTTTCCCTTTTTATCTCTCAGCTTATTCTTATTTATTAGCCTCATAGTCATTTGCGCCCAATTTATATGAAAAGCAAGAATAACGATTAGTTCGCCCGTGAAAAGTAACACGTCTAAAAACCATACGGTTTACAGTTTCGTTCGGATTCATATCAACAGTTTTGTCTTTTTTGTTGTATAGTACATATTTCTTAATTAGAAAGGGCAATCTACAATGTTATACGGGTGTTCAAAATCATAAAGAATGACCGCAATACGCTTAGATGGACAAACCATTTACCACTTAATCAGCTTAAATACGTCTTGAGTGGTGACGCCTAAAATAATATGGAGAAGTCAAAAGGTTATTCCAACCTGAGGATAACTTAGATTTTCTACAAAATGCTATGTATGTAAAGGTACAGAGAGGAGTAGAGAAAATAGAATAGTTTCCTATAACAAAATGTCCAAAAGGTAATCACTGTAGTTTAGTCTTCAGGTGTACCCATATTTCCATTTTTAAAATAACATTGCGCATTTTTTTCTGTTTATGCGTAAAGCAGAAAAAGATGCCAATTTGCCAATATATTTGAATAAGCGAGTTCCAGGAAGCAGTTCAGAAGAAGAAGCGATCACTGGAACAGAGGTTTTATTGTCCCGACGTTTCGGATTCCGTCGGGAATCCTTAATCGTAGGTAATCGCAGACAAGTCTGAGACATGCACATGTCTCAGAAATGTCCACGATTACAGATGATTAAGGATCCCCAACGGAATCCGAAACGTCAGGACAATAAAACCATCGTTCCAGTGATCACTCCTTCTGACGTGCCTTTTTACTAAAATTCCACAGACATTGGTTGACATACATTGTTTTCTTCGTGAATTAAAAGAAGAAAAATTGTCCACCTATGTTTTCCAGGCATTGAACAGACGAAAAACATATAAGACTTGCTTTTATCTTTTTATTATAGTTGTTTGTGGTGGTACATTAAAGAGGGACAAAGGCACCATAACCAGCCCTGGATTTCCGAGTATCTATTTGCAAGACAAGGAGTGTATTTGGAAAATTCAAGTGCCAGCTGGATTCTCCATTGCCTTAACATTTGACACGTTTGACGTAAGTGCCGACACAAGAACTCTAAACACGTATATTTGACTAACCAAACATGGCCATAAAAACTTTTCGAAACAATAAAGACGTATTGCGTAAGCATACATACAGAAACTAACCTAAGCTATGTCAAATGCCTAAGCTTGCAAAAAATATCGATAAACCTACGCAAATGGGTATTAATGCTTGTACGAAAAGTTGGAAATAATAATAGACAAGCCCTTAGTGAAGAGATATCATAAAGGAAATATTGAACGTATTGGCATCTTATTTATAAATTACAATTTTAGCAGGCCTCAAACTTCAAGCACATGAAACGAGGCACTATATCTATAAACTAAGTGCCAGTAAAACTGTCAGGTTAAGTCGTAAGAATGCCCATTGTAGCGTATTAAAAGAACTAAGCCAACGTCATTCAATACATTTCTGGTAGTGACGTTTAGTTAGGCTAATTTGATATTTGAGAAGTCGATGAATGTTGTAGAATGTGACACTCTTTAAATCCTTACACAGAAAAGTTGTATCCTGTTTTATGTGTTTTCCGAATGAAAGAGAGGGTTCGCGATCCACGTATATGTTTGGACGAGGAGAGTGATTTTTTTATGTACGTTATTAAAATGATGGTCATTTGCATCACACATGTGGACTCACCTTAAAATGAAAAATAATTTCCGAGCACAAATTAGTTCCACGGAAATGGGCAGATCTTAATGCCGAGGTAACTGAGAGGTACTGTGAGCTTACATACTGGTGTAACTGCGGATACCTAACTTGAACTTACTACTTTTTTATGAAACTAGTTATTTTCGAATATTGCAATCAAAAATTGAAAAGCTTCCATGGGTTTGCCAATATATGAATATTCAATTCATTCTATAAGGCAGAAGTCGCATATCAAACCTACGTACATAATCAAACCAACTTTGTAAATAAAATAAACTATGTATTTGTGGTTTTAAATATCCATTAGCAATATTATTACCGATAAAACCGAATCGACTCTTTAGCATAACTATATAAATTGTTTAAAACGTTCGGGAAGACTAGAATTTGTATGCCATTTTTTGGACGGAAAAAAGTTGAGTGGCTGTGAACAAGCACAGATCGCAACGATGCAATTGCTGGGGTCATGTGATCGTTTAATCTAGTTCATGTTGTAGCACAGAGGTAGATGCACGTTAACATATCACAGGCAAACATTTAAATTAACGCTTCTAATTAAGGAAGACGTCAGATATAAATATGTCGCATACCGAAAGGCCATGGATAGCTTGTCAAAAATATCAACGATTACTATAAATGAAGCCAACACCTTATTCTACCGTTCGCATTGACGCTGAGCGAAACTTAGATGTATCTATCAGACGAATATTTTACCTACTTCTGAGCACCCACCATAAAGGAAATACCCTGTTGCCTCGAAGGACGCTGCGTCGTGAACATGCGTCATAAAATGTAGTCAAACATCTCAATATGTGTCAAAAATTACCCACAAGCATCGCCTATTCGCGGAGAAACGAAACAATATATCAAACGTGCACTGACATGCCAAACTTCAGACATCCTGAGTTTGCGATTACGTATAAAACCAGAAAGCATTTTGATTGTATCTTTTGATTTTTTGGGTTTAATTTCATTGTATGTGCATATTTGCTGACACGATGATGTGGTATCTATCAGGGATGACTGAAAACCAAATGTTTTGCCTAAAACAATCTGTCTTTTGAATACGTTTTTAATCAACGTTTTTACATATGCTATCAGAATTGCACCGCCATAAATGGAGCGTAGTATCATTCGCCAGAGAAAGTACACATTTGACGTGTCTGAACATATAAGTGCGTTAATTATTTATATATATTACACATTTTAGCTGGAAACTGATAAGGACTGCTCATACGACTATATAGAAATATTCGACGGTATTCCTTTCTCCTCCCCAATGCTGCAAAAGTTGTGCGGAACTGACTTACCAAATCCGATTTGGTCGACGAGCAACACAATGTCCTTGCATTTTGTTAATCTCGGTGCAATTGAAAGAAAAGGATTTGTAGCCAAGTTCGAGAAGGGTAAGTTCTTTCTAGGTAAAATTACTTACATTAATACAAATATTTACAATAAAAGTCAGTTTTAAAGGGCTTTTGGTAGCTCTGCACGCAAAACGATCAATTTTGCCAGATACACACAGCAGACTAGCGGGAATCCTGAATGTTTTCCGTATGGTTTTGGCATTCATTTTATATTAAGAAAAGAGGAAAGTCCAGATAAATTACCTAAATATTTGGTATCAGCTTTAGTTACCTGAATTAGGCGCTATGGCCACGCGGATTCGGTAGCAATTACTTAAGAAACAATCTTTTTGATAAATAAGCACCTAAAATACAAATTCGTAGACATTTCCGTTTGGCGTCTGTGCACAGCCGCAGGTACTGTTTCATCCTTCTCGCGCTGCCTTATCTTACGTAATTCTGACAGACAAAGTTTATTATAATTTCCAAAAAAGTTTATTCCTAAAAAACTGATCTTCCAGGCTACGCGGAAACTATGCTGATTGGTTGATCTTATGAGACAAGCGACTCGAAATCTTAGCAAAAACTGATCACAGCAGCAACAAAGCACTCGAAAAATATTTCTAAATTCCGACACTGCCTTTTGGACATCTCCTGCTTTCAGAAAATTAAGTGAAAAACGTAATTTTGTTCTCGATAAATTTTGGTCAGGCCTTTACATTTAAAAGGTAATTAAATAAATAACCTATGCGGGTTGGTATACAAAATAATGAGGTTGTCAGCGGAATTGGGGTGGGGGAATCGGCGTTGGCTTTGGCAGAATCGGTGCCATCACGTTACGCTGACTGGCCTAAACACTGACGCGGCACCGCATTTACCATGGCCATTAGCTCCTTATTCAACACCCCGCAGCTTATCACATATCTGAGCTACCAGTCCTCCGTAACACAGACCAGACTTGTGTTCCCCCTAAACCTTCACTGACAAACGCACTTAATATTTCTGCCAACCCGCATTGTTTGTTAAGTAAATTACCATATATATGTAAAATTCCGACGAGATTTTATCCAAAACAAGCGTACGTTCGCCAATTTATCTTCCTAACTTTTGAATCGAATTTTTTTAGAATCTCCTGCTTTGTTAAATTTTCGAAATGTTTAAAAACAGTTGTTGATTAAAATATGATTTTTTTATTATTAGTCATCCACGCGGACATTGATTTCTGTGCGACCTCAAACCATGGTTGCGAACATATCTGTGAAAACGTTCCAGGAAATTACATATGTCGGTGTCGTGATGGGTACAAGCTGCTCCCAGACAAATCCTCATGCCAACGTGAGCTACCTCTTATTTTCTGCGGTCGTGTGTATTTATTTGTTTTGGTCTTTCAACTTTGTGGCAATTCTTCCCAACGTCATTCTATTCTACTGAAATAAAAGTTGGCATTTGGCAGTATTTCAACTTATGAGGAGTTCATGCCTGCTATGAGTTTAGATAAAGAAAACGGCAATTGCCGTGTTGGCTACATTAACAGTGTAAGTTATTATATTCAGTATGTGTAAATGAGTAAGAAAATTACCCATGGCACTTGTCTGATATAAATGGAATTGCGCAAGTAATTTAGTGAAACGCCTGAAAATTATACTTTCATATAAGCGCATAACAGTTAATTTAATTAATTCATTTCCATGTAGTCACGCGTTGCGGTGGCACCTTGAAGATGGAAGAAGGCAAAATTACCAGCCCCGGATTTCCGGAAAAATACGCATCAGGCCTTAACTGCACCTGGATTGTTGAAGTACCTGCTGGATACTCCGTGGCACTCACATTCACTGATTTTGAAGTAACTGCCAATATTGTAGATTTAACTTAATTAAATGTTATTAAAATAGCAAGAATATTTTGGCTATTGCTTTTATGCATAATAAAAGCTGTGGTAATGAATATTTATTCACTAAATATTGATTCTTCCATTTACACCTCATGTCAAAAATACTTCTTTAAAGATTGTGTACAAATTTTAGGTAAAAAGTGCTATTAAAGGTCAATGCATAAACTGGACTTTGTTAAATTTATGTATATAATAGGAGCGAAGAGTCGCGTCCCCGGACATAAATGAGAAGATAAGGATATCTCAGCAACCATTTTTATCGTCCTGACGTTACTAAAGCGTACAGACTACCACCATCAGAGGTGGCAATTGTACCGCTCCTCACAGAATTTATAGGTGTTAGCAGTTTTAGGGGCTTAACCAGTGCAGATGAGGGAGAGGAGGGCGTTAGACGGGATGTTCAATAATCGTGCCCTATGAAACGTAATAGCCTTAGTCAAGGGGTCTTCCGTCGGCTTCCGGTGTTCGCGCTTGTGCAGCAGGTCGCTATGAATGACCATTAAACCAACAGATGCACCCGCAGCGAGGTTTTACGGACTGCCAAAGGTACAAAAAACGGTATTCCCCTACGGTTAATTGTGTCATTACGCGGTGCACCAAAATTTAATCTGACTAAATGGCTATTCCGAAATCTAAAGTCATTGACGTCGGACGCGGCCACGACGGTATGTTCGGCCGCCCAATTCCTGGAGCGTCTCAGGGGAGTACAAAGCGCCGAAGACGAGGTCATGGTGTTATTCGACGTCACCTCCCTCTTTACTTCGATCGCACAAGACCTGGCAATCGACGCGGTCTGCGAACTGCTCTAGAGCCAGTACGATGAGACGAGTGAGACGGTGAACTGGCGACATCTCATTCAATTCCTAAAATTCTGCCTGAAGG